TGATTGAAAGATTAGAGAAATAAAAGAGTCTGCCCCTGTGCTTTAATGGTAACACAAAGAAAATAATGTTCCCAACAGCATTTATTTTCAAAATTGCAGATGTAGACAAATCAATGTAGGGATTTGTCTTAGTGACATTGGAGCAGAGACTTTGGCAACTGGCAGAGCTCCACGGTGCATACTGAAGCTACAATGGCACAAGGACAACTGGACTTTATATACCGTGCAATGCAAAAGATCATGACATATGTATTTTAGGGGATTACCACACTGCATCGATTGCTTGGAAAGTAAAGAAATCAGCCTTGAGATTAAAAAAAAGTGGTGTAAAAAGTATAGAAAAAAGTGAGATTCTGTCTACTCTGCATACGTTTTTTTAAGTATCCTCAATAGCAGTGATGATAATGGTGGTAAGTTGTTCAACACACAATGGAAACTCTCACACAGACCCATCCACACAGAGAAATATGTGTGTATCAATAACTTCCAGAAGCGAATTACTGCATTAACATGAAATAGCAGCTGAAGTAATGCCTGTGTGACTGTACTCGGTGGCCTGCGCAGAGTATTCTGGGATTCATTAGCCGCCAGAAAGCAGATGAGTCACTGTGGTCTCCCTGACCTCGTCTTTGTCTTCCCTCTCATTTATTCCCTGTCTTGCGTCACTAGTGAACTTAAACATACAGCAAGATGCCTGATTATCGTTCGGTACAATACAAAATGCTGTAGAAACGAAACATCAGCCATATAAAAAAGATATACAATCCACCCTTAAAAAATGTGCAACTTCATTTACATCTCTGGTGTAAGTGGGCTTAAATACAAGAATAAATAAAGACCTACCTTTGACTCAAACCGGGTAACGGTTACTCGTTCCTAAAAGAGATCTTCAGCGATCTTAACTTTGGTTCTCGCCCCACACTTGTGACATTTACACAGTCGGTTTTAGTAAAGGTGCTAATTCGGGTCGTTGTTATAAATGAGACTTATAAAGTGCTGCCATGTCGAACGATAAAAAGTTCGAGACTCACTGACGTTAAAAGACAAAAAAATGGCTTTAATAAGTGTGCGTGACAGTTTCCACTGAACAACCTTACAGTGTCCTGGTGGTGAACTTTGGCGTATGGGGGGGGGTTTTTCGGGGGAACTTCCTGCGCTTTAGTCAGTGTATTAGTAGGTAACGGACGATATTGCCCACCACAGTACGTGTTAAGGAACATATGACACACAAGTAAGGTAATTAGACCCTATATAACCTCACCCGGTCCACGCTTGCAACAGTACGGGTACTTGTAAAAAGTGACAGACAAAACATCTCAGGTTTTCGCTCTCGGTTGGTAACTATAAGTTATCGGTGTCGTCATACCTCACACTGTCGATAAAAAAACACTTAGAACACTCACATACTACCATTATGGTCTCGTCGGAGGTTTGGAGTTGACGGTCCAGAGAGGGACTTCCTCCCCGATGTGGGGCGGGGAGGTTTTTTGTCCGAGACGTTCTATTTCTTGTTGAGTCCTCCCTCCCCATCAAAAGAGATTTCCCGGGGAAAAACACAAAAAAATCGAAAGGGAAAGGACATCACACAATATCGCAAAAACAATTACATTTATCGAAGACGTTTTTCCGGATTTTATGGTTTCGATGGTTTTTTCAAAGCAGAGGGTGTGGGGGGGGAGGGGAAAGGACTTTGCGGAGGTAACCTGAGGAAAAACAAATTGAAGACGATTGTATCACTGTGAGTCAATACATTCTTCGAGCGCAAGATATAATCGGATCACGAGTTGTGTTACATGCACTTATCCGATTCCCGCCCTGTAGCCTCTTCGACAACTGGCGGCTATAGTGTTGTCTCGGCCGGCTGGACTCGGTTTAGCTCTCGTCTGACGCCGCGAGACAAAGTCTGTCTCCCCACCTTCTCCGACGCACGGTCGTGCGTCCGTCCAATACCGCGCGCTCTTTGTAGTTCGTCGAAACTTGTATTTCCCGTACCTCTGACAGGGTCGATGTCTTGTGTTGTATGTAGCTTGGACTTTTTTCCGCATTATCCGGAAATTTTGTGTTACAAAACGGGTCGAAGTAGGAATGGTGTAGCGACGACGACAATTCCGTTCCGTTCCGTTCGAAATACATATATCGGTGGAAAGTTGTGTTCCGTTAACGTTTCACGAAATGTTTTTTACTTCTGTAATTATTTAACGTAAAAATTTTAGTCAGTAATTTTTCTTTTCTATTATTTTATTTGAATTTCGTTTTTATGTACCTATTTTCCAAATGTCACGGTCAAATTCTACACTTACAAGTTAATTTTCGGGTCGCCGGTTTTTCTTTTCAGAAATCCAGACTAAATTTTTCATCGTCTCAACGTCGCGCTGGACGTCCCTCCCTTTACAAACTAGATAGACACTAGTTCAC